TTTCAAACGACAATTTTATAAATAACTTAAAACTCAAAAGAGTACAACCGAGTGTCAAATGACACACTGAAACCAGAAGACTGGACCAACTCCCTTTGTCAATATTATGTGTACAATTGTAATTAAATCTGTGCTTGAAATTCATGTTCATTAGCATAAAAAAAGGGCAATGTTATGTGTACAATTGTAGTTTACAACAATAGTTAAAAATATCATTAAGTCAAATCGTAACCATATATTAATTTGCATCTCAACTACTCACATTATGTCAAATCATGTTTTCCTTCAATGTTGTATAAAAAAGTTGCACAAATTAGCTTTTTTCCTAAAAATATACATGTAATGTGTTATTTAATAAATATGTAAGTGGCATATTTGCGCTTTTTCGAACGATTGACTTTTCAATTAAAAATGGTTTCCACATCAAATCTTTCTTGTAAATGTATTTGGTAAGAGTGAAAATGCCATGTAGTATAACTAACAGAATTATTTGCGTCCATCACCAAAGCTCCCAATTTTTTTTTTCATTTTATTATTATTTTTTTTGTCATGACCACTTAAAAAACTAACGACTTAATCAAGTAAATAATTTATATTTTTATTTTGAGTTTAGTATTTGAAATATAGTATATGAGGAACTTGACGAGGATTAGAAATTACAAAGTATGTTATAAGACTAACCGTGTCGAGCTATTCACCGAAGCTCTCAGATGGTGTTAATTATAGACGCGTTAAGTCAAAAAAACAAATAATGATGTGTCGTGGAGCTATTTACCGAGACTATCAGATGGTGTTAATTAAAACGGTTCAATTCAAAAAGCAAGTAAAAGCTGAATTACCATATGCGTGAAATGTTGTAACATATTAATGCAATTTATATTCGTAAATCATAAACAAAATATTGTATCGTGAGATATTGCTTTAATATTGCAATCTCTCTAACGATGGTTTGACCGTCAACGATAATAGCGTATGCTTCACGCTTTTTCTCTGACTAGGATATCCTATCGGGCTGGGTTGGGCTGGGTCGGGCTATCCAGACAAGTCAGAGGCACTCTAATGTTAGAACCCTGTTTTTGTCATCTATGTAAAACATTGCCAATATAACAAGAACTCATGTAACCTTTTGCCAATATATAGCTTTTGGTCTTACACGGCTCGATTCCGGATTAGTCGGTTCCCATGTGGATCCGAAAACCGAAAGGTCCCTGTACCAAAAATAAAATATACTATAGCTTTTATCTTTAAGTACTCTGACGTTTATTTCAGTTCTTACACTATTCTCTTATATTTCATTAAACATGTCAAATTCTCTTCATCACTTTTCACACTCTCCATAATTAATCCATAAAACATCACAAAGAAAAGACATAAAACATATACATAAAACTCCATTTTATGATAACTTCTTGTCCAGAAAACAGGAATAAGCAAACTTAACAAGACTCGACTCTGACTCGACTCATTTCTCACAACAAATTTTAAACTACATTATTCCAGAAGGCTCGACCGAGCAAACATATAAAGACAACAAAACTATTCTTTGACACAATCAAAAGACCGACACGAAAACACACCAACGAGACTCAAAACAAAAGCACGGCACATTAAAACACAGAAAATGAGACTCACAAAACAAGACAATTATAAAACCAATGACCCCCAACATAATGTTCAAGAAAACTCTTCCTTTCATATCTGTTACATTCTTCAAATGGACGGATCAAATCCAACTTGATTATTATTATTGTCCAACCAATGGTTCGGGTCGAAAAGATTCGGCACGACCTGATTCTCACCCTCGTCAGCACCATCCCTAGCCCACAACCCAGAGGTCGACCCATCCGATGAAGAGCTCCTCATAAAGAAGCTTTGACCCAAGCTCGGATTAACATTG